TTTCCCACCTGTATAATGTTACACCTGATCTTGAGATTCGATTGGTTGATCATATAAGAGTGACGTATAATATGCATTGCACAGGGTAATAAATAAATATACTTTATATTTTATATTTAATTTATAAATTGTTGATAACTTTTGATCCACTGATCTGTTTTGGATAAATTAACTACCATCTTAGTGAGAGGATTCTAACTAAGTCAAAATTATTAAAATCCAATTAAAGGATCTCAAGATCACTCAAATTTTATGTGATTTTATAAGAGTTAAAAACTCTTATTAAAATTACACAACATTTGAGCAATCTTGAGATTCTGTGATTAGATTTTAGCAATTTTGACTTTGTTAGAATTCTCATTAAGATGAACATTTTGGTAGCTAAATCATTTAAAATGAATCAGTGGATTAAAGTTATTAGTGATTATAATAATATAAATATGATTGGTTGGTTCAATAGAGCCAATGAGCAAATAGATACTATTCTATTTACTCTATTGGCTCTATTGATAATTTTCTCAATGGACCTTATCTATTGCCAACCTGCCAAGATGCTCTTGGATACTCTTAGAATAAATGATGATATTATCAATATAAATAATGACAAATTGATCAATAATATCTTAAAATATAGTATTTATTATATGCTGATATGTTGTTGATGTATTCATAAGGCAGAAAGGCATTATATTAAATTTAAATAACTCAAAAAGGAGTAAAGGTAGTCTTGTGCCTGTCCCAAAGATCTATTTCTACTTGCTAATATCCTAGCAAAATCTAATGAACTAAAGTAATAGGCACCTTTTAAAGAATTGAGTAAATCTTGAATATGTGAAAGTAGATAACTATCTTTAATTATTACTGAATTTAATTTGCAAAATTGATGCAAAATCTAACCTTGTCTTCTCTTTTACTAAAACCATAAGAAATATCCATGGACTTTCTGAAATTTAAATAATACCTTTATTTAACATTCAAGCAATTTTATCTTATATAAATTTACACTCCTTAAAGATATGAAGATAAGACCTTAGTTTAATAGCAGAGTTGTCACTAGTATTTACTTTATATTTAGCTATGTTGGTTTGACTAATTTCTTAAATCCCTAGCCAAAACTGGAATAGTAGTTTTATAAAAAATTTTTAAATTAATCTTGAAAATTTTGCGATAGATTACTAATGTGATATACAATAGCAGGAGTTTTTTTCTCATTATAAAAATCAAGTAAAACAATAATAGCTTTATTACCTTCTAATTAGTAAGTTGTTGACAGAGTCATGCTCGACGAGGATTTTGTAGAGTATATAATATTTTAGGATATACATTTTTAAAGTGGCTAAATGCATAACTAAGGGTAAGTTCATCTGAATCTTGCTGTAATAATGAAAGAAAACTAGTCAAAATTTCATTAAAATCCTTATCTGTTTGCTCATCAGGAGTAAGAGAAATCAGATTGGTACTAGAAGAAGAAAGGAATAACTGTTTATCCTTAAACTAGTATTCTTTGTCAAAGTTCCAACTTATCAGAAGTTCTTCATATACTTCAGGATCACATAATATTGCTAATGATAGTAAGTATAAGAAATCAGTAATACTCAAAACTCTATAAATATGATCCTCAAGATCTTCATTATCAAACACATC